CCAAAATGGTTTTTTTTTCACCATTAAATTAGCAACATTAAATCTGAGGTTGGCTGATAGTTGGCTTGTAAACATGGCTACCCTATACATCTAGTTGGTAAAATGTAGGCATTCTGAGGGAGAAAGCATTGCTTGTGTACATACATTTTTCTATATTGTGATGAATTTAGTCTTTTGCAATTGTCTATTGCGAATGCCCATATAGCGATAACAATTAAAATGTAATTGATTGTGGAGTCCTACTCCCTAAAATGTATATTATTTTTCAAAAAAACACCCTTTGTGAAATTCCCTTCCAGTGAAACTATTAGTGTTTGAATGCTTCTGATGAGTTTAGTTAGATTTATGCACAACTTCAAGCACTTTGTAATAGTGTTGCAAAAGATACTACAAAAGTAAAGCTCAAATCTATTATTTGAACACATAAGATTAAAAATAAGTGAAGTAATCCTCCATTAAACATCTACTATGTGCCTTTTTTGTTTCAGTTTTATTCTCCTGATTTTCTGGCCAAAGCTTCATCGATGCCGCAGCAGACCTCAAAGCCGAGGGCCGACAGCTGCGTCGACCATGAGACGCACTAGAGGCTGAGAGACGACAGAAACATCCACACACAGATTGAAAACACATCCTTCAGTTAAGACAGTTACACCTAACCATGGCTGTAACTGCTGCTAAGACCACTCTAAGTTTTCTTTCCACAACTTCCACGGCTACCACAGTCCCCTCCTTCCTGACGAGTGTGTCCGCCAGAGAAAATATCACCTCCAGAACAACATCAATGACTGTTACCATAACAACAAACGAGACCAGCTTCAACGCCACCTCGTTTCCAGAGGCAGTGATCGAGGGCTCGGGAATGGGAATTGTGCTCGTCCCCTTTGGTATCATTACTGTTATCGGCTTGGCAGTGGCAATTGTAAGCAATTGTTTAGATATTGTTTCTAAAATTGCATTTGATGCAGAGGAAATGAATTCTCTCTGAAACGACTGGATCTTCTAGATGTAGTGCATAATCTATATCATGATTAACACATGTGTTGTTAGCTCAGCCTAATGCAAAGTTACGCCCATTCTTTGGAAAAGTTCTATCTAAGCACCATTACTGTGTCTCATTATATCTCTTTCCCCCCTCTATCCTAGATGCTGTATATTCGGAAACGGAAGCGGTAAGTTAGAAAAATGTATCTGCTGGCTATGCAACAAGTCTTAGAGCCCAAGTTTACGACATGCCATTGGTTCCAGTAATTTGATTATTTGCTAAATGTATTTAAAAGATACACTATTAAAGATGTCCACGACAAAAATGTGTTACATATTTTTTTGTCTTTCTAAACACAGATGTGTATGTAGAGATTGTGGGAGTTAGCATTAGCATAGTAAAAGTTGTAACAGAGAAATTGTCAGTTTTTGTACATTACTGGGCTTGGAGCTTCTTCCACTGTCCACCAAAACTGCTAAACACTGACAAAAAAATCAAAACAACCAATGCTGTGTCAGCAGTTACAAGCTGGCCAGCTCAATAACAACATCAACACCCCTGATAGTTACATTTACCATTCCAATAGTTGTTTGTTTAGTAAACAACAGACTACTGGTCTGAATCTGTCTGAGGCTCAAACACATGTGTCTTCTTTGTGTAGCTCTTAATGTTACCTGTAATACTGTCAATGCACGCTACTCTTCTGCTCATCATCCTCATGCTCATAGCATTTGTAGTGTGGACGGGATGCTCATGAAGGTAGCCCTAACCCTAACCTTTTGTAAAGTTTTTGTTAATGATTACCAAACGATATGTAAATCTTAGAGATTGTTTATAAAACATCTACTGTGCAAACATTAGGGGAACTTTAATTAAAGCAAGTCACGCTGTTTAGTTTATGGGGCTGTATATTATTTTAGTTTATTTTGAGTTTGCATTATAAGTGTTGCATCAAAAACTAAACAAATATCCATTAAAATTTAATCAAAGACGTTTTGGTAACACGAGTCATTAAGAACATTGGAGACAGTTTAGAAGGCTGAGGTTTTGTAAAGGCCAGTGTAACAGCCCAAAATATAAAAAAAACTACTCCCTAAACTACACCCAGGGTTAAAGTGGGCTAGCCTTTTTTTTTACCCCCAAGTACATTCTTGGGTAGTCCAGTTTATACACTGGGGTATGAAACAGGCTAGGCTATTTTATACCCCCCTTAGGCCATAGTTTATTCCGCCACACACACACACACACACAGAAACCAGTCCTATGAGAGTTCTGTTATAGACTCAATGGTCTGAGAAACTATCTTAATTTGAAGTTTTAAAAAAAGGTAGAAACAATTTTATTTCTCTTGCTGACGACACAACCTTATAAACTAAAATACAAAACTATTTCAAGTGAAGGTTACAGTGAAGCACAAAACATACCTAAACACTGGTTTCAACATGTTCACTCATGGCTAGTGTTCACTGGGTTTTGGGCTAGCCCAAACTATCCCCTTTGGTATTAACATGATTAGCCTAAAATATAGCCTTTTTTTTTTTTTTTTTAATTAGGGTTTCTCCCTTCCTCCTTTTTTAACCAACTGGGTAACCCCCTTAAATGAAATCAGCCATACTTTGTTCTTCCTGCCGTGTCTTCACCTTTGATCTCTGTATGTGCAGGCTGGAGAAGCTAAGGCACCAGCTCATGCCCATGTACAACTTTGACCCGGCTGAAGAACAGGATGACCTGCTGGAACAGGAACTACTGGACCACAGCCGGGAAGGCAGCCTCACGGGTCCCAATGCCAAGGTAGGCTCAAAAGTGTTTGGTAGAAAGTGCAATTTAAATAAAAAAAAAAAAAAAATCCTAACATAAATCAATGTTTGCCTTTGGACATTATTATCTTGAATGAAAATTCTCCCATTCAGACCAAAATGTGAATGAATTTCTGATCACAAATTCCATGATGACCTTATTTGATAATCCTCAATATTCCAAATCGGAATCAAGGAAAAGTCTCTTTTAGTGACTGAGACATATTTCACAAAGCAAAAAGTAGAATATCACATTTTGTTTATAATCTGTTGGATGCATTTGCGGTGTGTGAAGTAGTTCTCATTGTGTCTGTATTGTATAAACAGTTTGTTGTTATAATGGTAAAGGATCTATTTTTGCCTCATTTACAGAAATCTTTGCTGTTTTTTGAGCGACTGTTGCTTTCTGTCATCACTTTTTTTAAATTTTGGCTATTAAGCTGTAACCATCGTGATGTTTCTTTATTCTTTTATTTCTTTGAAGTTTTGACAATGGCATAGTGGTGAAGACGAGCATGGTAAAGTATCACCTGTGGATCTTTCTACCACCATGGTTCTCTCAGCCTCTTTTTTTCCCCCCCCACCATCCTCATACTTAGATTATTTCAGAATCTCAACCTGAAATTATCTTGAGGTTCATTTACATCAACTAATACTTACGAAATTAGATCACATAGCAAAAACACCACCAAACATACATTTAAATAATCTTTCATCTTTTTCCCCTTTTTCTCCCTTTACTGAATAATTTCATGTCAAATGTCCCAGGGGCCACATGTGCACCAGACGTATGCAAAACAACACCTCTGCTTTCATTTTTTAATCATCACATCCAATCAACAATTACAAAATACACCAGCAAAGATGGAAGACTCTGGATATTATTATCAGAAGAAGGTTTATTGCCAAGTAGGTTTTTTGACATTCAAGGAATTTTGCTTTGTATCTAGTTGCAAAAAGCTAACAAACATAGTATAAAGACTTCTGAAGAAGTGCCAGTTATGAATAGGAAAGATAACCAAATACGATTCATGCACTTCAGTCATAGCCCTCTTTATAGTCTTGTTCTGTAGCTTTCATGTGTACACTGCACTACACTATGGTAATAGAACAAACACTGCTCCTTTATGAAGTACATGAGTGCAAAGAAAAGCTCATATAAATGCTCCATTCCAGACCAACGTGTCAATCAGCATCAACTTTTTATTATCATCCTATTTTGACTTTATTTGTACCTTAACAGTTTGCATCCTTTTATTGATGTACACACGTGGCCTCTGGTGGATACATTTTCTCTGGTTCCTGTAATCCATCACAGTTTCTATCCTAAAATATTACGTCTGTTTAGCTGTTTTGATGGTCCTAAAATGAACATAACAGTTTGTTTCTGTGGGCACGACCAGCTGTTTCCACAGCGTCTTACAGCACAAGGCTCAAGTAACCACATTATCTTGCAGTCACTAACAGTTTTTATGTCTTCTCTGTCCTACTGCCCATCTCCTCTGCAGACACTCACAACCTCCCAGGGGACCACGCAGAGGCCCAGTCGTCTGGTCTTCACAGATGTAGCCAAAGCTCTCAACGCTTAACAGCTCTCTTTTATTAGTTGATTTCAGCTCGCAAGGGCCCACCCCACCGGCCCCTTGGACATATACAGACTGTTGCTCAGGAAGGAAAACAAAAAGGGAAAAATAGGACTGTTCTTTTGGAGCAACCAGAGCTGTTGTGTACGCTTCATTTCTGCGACACAGAACGCCACATGGAAGTGGAGTTCAAATGATTAATAAAAAAACAAAACTTGTGCATGTATGATGAGCGGAGAAAAAAAAGGGAGGCATCACATTTGATCTTGCACTGTTATCATAAGGCACACAAATGCATTGTGATGCACCTTTATGAATCATGTTGTGTTATTGCTGTTGAAATGTTTGGTAGCTTGTCAGTGAAGTTCTTCTGAGCTTCAGTATCTTCTTCCATATTTGTTAAGAGAGAAGTATACTTTTGTCTTATACTGATTGTGTGGTCTCGTGTCTCTGACAAGCTTGAATCCTGGAGATGTTACCATCCTTAACTCTTCCTCTCTATTTTGTTTCACAGTTTGTTCTTTTTGGGTAATGAAGGATTGTGTTTGTCTGTATACATTAAATTATTTAAACTGACTTGAACAGTTTTGTTGTGTGTGTGTGTGTGTGTGTAAAGAATCCGTGACAAAGGAGAGCTGGTAGCTGTGATATTTTATTGATAAGCAATAAAAGAAGCAGAATAACACAAATCACATGGTAAAGAATCATAACAAAATATATATCACAGGTTTGTGAGTTGTATTAATGAAGTGGATGAGGACACATCAATAACATAACTACAAAAATGGTGTTAAAAGTAAGGCATAAAAGATGATTTCTCAAGTTACAATTCAACTTTTTTAATAGTTGAAAATAGATCAAGTACTGTATGTAACTATATATCATTATCAGTAAGATCACAGAACAACATCGTCCCCATAATAGAGAGTAAATATCCAGACACAGCTCGTGTAAAATTACAGACATTGTCTCGACTGTAGTTTCATGAAGAGGCACCCTTCAGGCTGACTTGCATTCATTGTGGTAACATGAATGTAGTAAGATGAGATGAGTGGACTACAACAGTACTAGTTTGACAGTTACTTTTTTTTTTTAAGATTTCATGATCTACATCACCTGTAAAGAAATGTAAGGTACAACGAGCCACAACTTTCCTCAGAGATGTCCCGGGCTTGTTAGTTTTCAGAGGTAGTCCAGATGGCAAAACAAGTAAAGTCAATGCAATTGAACAAAAAAATATATAGATATCTTTATGTAAATGAACTATGGCAGCAGTGTATGTCAACAATGCTGAAATACATACATTTAATGGGATACAAAAGATCTTCAGTGATAAAATAAGTAATTTTTTTAAATGGAAATGGGTACATACAGTAAATGATTGAGGATATTCAAGTCATATAACACATAGAAAGTGATATGTAGTTCATGTTGTATAAGAAATTTAACATGATTAATGATATAAGAGTCAAAAACGTAGGACTTTTAAGTATTTGTAGCTAATTGTCAGTTTAAGTGAAAGAAAAAAAATCTTCAGAGTATCAAAAATTCTTTTTTTTAGAAACAGGGGAGGTGATAAACTACTTCATTACCCCCCCCCCCAAGTTAAACAACAAGATGCCCATGTTTTTACAGGTTCACTACAAATGTTCAAATGATATCCCTCAAGTGTTGTTTCTCCTAAATTACAGTGATGCATACTTTTGTTTCTCTTTAATCTCAACAGAGGGGACCACAAACACGATTTCATTCATTCGCACTGAGGGGGCCAGCAGCAGTCCCAGGAACAGATGTGTTAAAGCCTTAGTACAGTAATAAGATAACTAAACTATACACCTGACTTGGCATTACACAAGCTGATGACAGCTGTGCTTGCTTTTATTATTCAAATACGAGGTTTAGTAGGTTTAGTCAAAGTTTTGTTTTGAATTTCAAAGCTTAAGAATCAGGTTTACTTCATAAGAAAACAAAAAAGATGAACATTTTTATAGATAAGCTTTCATCAGAGATCAGAAAAGCCATTAAGCCAATATGCATAGATGTAGTCTTTAAAACTGCAGCTCTCTGTTTAGGTGGCAAATGTGGGGGAATTATATATTACTAATAATACTAAGATTACTTCTTGATCTATACTTGCAGTCCTAAATATTGTTTCTGATTAAGAAATGATAGAAATAAAACAGTTATTTTTCTACCGCCCCACACGGTATGGCATCAGCAGTAAGCTAACAAGGTAAGCTAATGTTAGCAAACTTTAGATAAATGATAGTGAGTTAGCACATTGACTCTACAGCTGCATTTGAGTTACTCCACTTACTACACGTCTGCATTAACATTACTGTCACAGCTGTCAGTGTTCACCTCAAGTGATCTGTTCCACTTTCCACAAAGGAAAGGAAGGAGAAACTTGAGGCATTTTTTATCTTCAAAAATTGGTCAAACAAAGAAGGCACAGTTTAAGTATGGATTAATAACCCTTAAACTTAATAAAGTTACTGGGCATTTTTTCATAAAAGGTAACTATGGTGATGATGTTTTATGGTTTTCCCTTTGTGTCATGTATTTCAGCACTATGTGGTTACTTGCTGCCGTTTCTTATAAATCACATGGATTAAGAGTGTCACACAATACAATTTACAGTGTAAGAATCAGAAAAATACATGATGTAGTAAAAATGAGAAAGGAGTAAGCGACCCAAAAACAAACAAACAACAACAAAAAAACAAGTATTTCATAAGGAAACTACACCCTAAAAAGCAAGTATTTCATCAAGTTGTTGTAAACCATTGGCTGCAATTTTCATTTCCCAGGAGAACATACAAAGTCTCACTTCAGCTTGAAACAAATACAGTTTTTTGTTTTGTAAGAAAAGACACTTTTATTTCTGCACTGCTGGTACAATCCTGTCCAGGAGTGTACCTCCTGTTCTGTGTGTATGTTGGCCTTTAAACCTTTTGCCTGTCTGTGTTGCATATCTGCACATGAACCTGTGTGTTTGTGTGTGTGTGTGTGTGTGTGTGTGTGTGTGTGTGTGTGTGTGTGTGTGTGTGTGTGTACAGTAAATGTGTGTTTAGCTGCTGCTGAGGGAGTGGAACATTACTTTGATGGAGATCGTCTGTCTTTTGTGTTGCTGAGGTAGAATGAGATATTAAGAAAGTGAGGGCAACAGGTTTAAATGAGGTCTTTGTGTCAAGGCATACTGGTAATGTCAAATACAGATCAGAAATGCACAACAAACACAGCACAATAATTATTACTGAGTAGACTGACAAAATGTTCCTGAATAGTTTTGTACCTGAGGTTTCAGTATGGTGTAAAAGCACGGTAATAGTAATATCCTGAGTGTGGTAAAATGACATGTCAACTCTGTTGTTGACCAAACATTACATGAAAGGTTTCTTTCCAAAATGAGACATCAAGTAAAAACTTCTGACGCTTTTATTTTTAAAAGTAGCTGCTGGTTGAAAGGGTAAAAATACTGAGTTTAAAAACCTGAATACTGTTCTTACTTTGACTGACATGTGAGTTCATGTTTTTATTTCATTTATTTCATTCTGAGTTAAGAACAGAGACGTTTCTCACCTCTTCATTAAGATATTTCATTTTGGAATCAAACCGCTCACGTCTGAGTTCATAACAATGACTTCAGCGCACCATGTTTGTACTGTGACATTGATAAAAAAAAAATGGCACCGTCTTGCTCCCATTTCACGTGAAGATTCATGACTCTGGTTTAGAAAAATGTTTCAATAAAACAGTTTGATTTGGTTCCTTTCATTTAAACACCTCTCACACCTCTCACAACCCCCAGCTCCTTCCCCTCTCCACACAATAACCACGCACACGCACGCGCACACACGCACAGGCGCACACACACACACACACACACACACACACACACACACACACACACACACACACACACACACACACACACACACACACACACACACACAAACAGTGAGAGGATCAGGGAGGCAGGAAACAGTTTAACATTTTGGGAAATACGCTTCTTTGCCTAGACTTAGACCCTCTTCAGAGAGTGTTTGGTTTTGACTGTGACTAAGAGTCATTTTGTGTGATCTGTTATTTTATTTAAATGCAGAAAGCTTTTTACAAGCTCCAAACACACCCCAGAAAACTTGTGTTTTAATGCCTTAAGTACTTTACATTTTAGCAAGAACCCTCTGAGGTCAAAAAATGAAAAATCATTGGTGTGTTGTTGTGTTTTTAAGCATTGTCTAGTGGTACAACAAAAGGTAGAGATATGTGAGTAAACCACACAGAGGATCCACATTGGGCCAAGGAAAAGTGATTCCGTGGCTCCCAGGGAACAATCAAAACACCCAATGGGATGCTCTTATTTCTTTTTAGGCTCCAACAAAAAAATAAGTGAGGTTTGCTTATTGCATCCCTCATGCAATAGAAAATAAATGTTAATTTAGCTTAGTTTAGCGTAAAGACCCTAAACAGATTAGCAATGCCATGTTCCAGCACCTTTTAAACTTTACAGTCATATGATAACTGTAAAAACTAAAACTGTTGCTTCTAAACTTTGTTTTTTGTACATATGAAACAATCTCAACATATCAAACTGCAAGCAGAGATACTTAAATGTGGATTCTGTAACCTTTTTTTTAATAGAGGCATGCTAGTTGTTTCCCTCTGTTTCCGGTCTTTGAGCCGGGCTAAGCTAACGAGCTGCTGATAGTAGCTAAATATTTACGGCAAGCTTTCGGATTAATCTTCTCTTGAGAATATTGGCAGGAAAGTGAAGAAGCGCATTTCTCAAGATGTGCAACTATTTTTGAAAAAGCCATATCAAATGATGTAATTCTTTCTATTTAAAAAACCAAACTTTTATAGTGAACCAACAAAACCAGGAATCAGTATTGGATTGGGAGAAGAAACCACTGTCTGCAATGATTTGTATTGTTGGTGTGTGTGCGTGTGTTCCTGAATCCCCATCACAGATAGGAGTCACGATGAACCCCTGTTTGTTTGAGGCCAAACCTTGAGGTAGGTAGAGAGGCGCCCTATCTACTCCCCTTTCTCCTGCGCTGGAACCTGAGATGACTCAAGCTGTGACGGACCCTCCTCAGCCTCTTCTGAAGGACCCTGAAACAACCAAAACCACTGTCACTTTGTCTGCCACTGTCCAGACTCTTTTAGACAAGTTAGAATGAGAAACCTAATGAATAAACGCTACGAAGAGAGAGACGAGAGAGAAGAGTGAGTTGAAACTTCATTGAGAGCGGGAAAGTCAGGTCCAGCTGTCAGACCTCGAAATGTGAGGAAGACGTCGGTTATGTCAGGAAACCAAGAAGACAGAGGAAGAGAACAGTTAGATCAGGTTTCCCCTCTCTCCATTGACTCATTCTTCCCCTTGTGTGCGTGCGTCTGAGAAAGGCAGTCTGTCTCAACAGTTTCAGTTCTTGAAGCATCTCTGACAAACTGCTCAGAGGATGTGATAAGGCGAACGAGGGGCATCACGTCAACTGCCCGCTTTGGTGATGAGCTGTTGAGCAACGTTTGCTTTTTGAAAAAACTAGCAGGAAGGCTTAAAAAGCAGAGAATTCTCAGAAACACCAGGGGTATAATGTATATATAAAAATACCCTGGATGTCACGAAAGGATGTTTGGAGGTGTATCTGAGGGATTCAACACCTCTATCTATGCACTTACACGAACTTGTCATATCCTCACGAAGTCAGTTTAGGCGAAGCACAAAGAATGTGTGCATTGGTTGTGTTGCTATTTGCACGAAAATGTGCCAAGGCAACAAAAATTTGAGCATTTAAATATTGTCCTGATAATAAACTGTGCTCTAGAGTTCAAAGTTCTGGTTGTTACATACGCAGTAAATGAAATCCAACGAGGCAAACATCTTGTTTTTCATAAAACTTGTGCTGTAAAACATAAGGCCTAGAACCGAAATAGATCAAACGTATGAATGTTTGTAAAAATGTACATTCAGTGTATCAAACATGCAAGGTTGCAATGTGAAGGCCACTATAAAAGTGTGCAGGAGGGCAAGGCCGAGGGCATTGAGAGGTCATTGCAATTTCATGCAAAAATCGAAAATGAGGGTTTGGTTCTCCTGAATATGCTATAGATCAGTATCATGGCTGTCAACAGGTTTTATAACAAGAGCGTCAGAATTACACCAGCTTTATTAAGAGCAGTCTGATGCTAAGATCAACTATCCGTTCTGACATTTTCACTTTGAATCTGTTGCTACACTACAGTTACAGACTGCCGTCACTTACGCGCTGTGCATGAGTGCGCATCGGATTTATAAACTTTATAAATAATTAGAGGACACAAACTTTAGTTTTCCTGTGATAATATCTTCTACCTCATGACGACAAAGTATTAAACATGTGGTATTGATATTAAAGCCTTAAATAAATACAAGTGTCAGATTCTCAACTTCTGAATGTATCGCTAGTCGGGGATAAGTGTGTTTAATAAGCTTGCATTTGAGTGTATTTGAAGGGGAAAATAGGCCTAATTGGAATCCTGAAGGTCATTGTTTGTTTGATGCTACAGAACAATCATGAGCTGAAGGGTTCAGTTTAGGTTATGTAGTTTAATGTCTTTGCTTAATACAAGCTCATTAAAAGCATGAAAGGCTGAATGAGATCATTTCTGCATATCAGCACTGCTTTAACATGGCCTACATCACAAATGGGACTGATATTAGTCAAAAGGTAAATGTGTGACACAAAAGGAGATTACTGTTCAACTGAATCAGAGGCTGCACCCCTCCTTAGTCACAGACTCTCTGAGGGACGTTAGCTTCAGTTTGGTGCATGAGCAGAGTACTTAAAACAAATTTAAAAAAAGTAGCTGAAGCATATTTTGGTTCATATGCAGAGTTTTAAAATGAAGGGGGGCCTAGAGGTTAAAGATATATAATGTCTTGATCTTGATCAAATAATGTATTAGTGAACATGACTTTGAGAGATTTGAAGAGATGCTGAGGGTTGTCTTTAGTTTATTACATACATACAACTTATTTCAGTAATTTTAACTAATTCAACTTAATCACAGTCATTTTTACTCTGGTTTAAAAAATGCCACATAAAAACAAAAAGTAGACCACCCTTAATAGATTTAGTTTCCTCACCTGCTGCTCTTCAGTCACTTCTTGGACTACTTTCTGGGGCTGAGGACAGAGAGGAAGCGGATTTAATTGATTTTGAAAGAAGCCACCCTATAGGACTGCACAGCTCCAGCAGACACTCTGGAGGCCTCACACACATGCATTTACAATTAACTCCATTATGTCTCAAACTGTCAATGATTGCCCCATACCCATTTCCTCGGTCGCCCACGTGGTCGTCTCTCCCCAACGGGTTCTACCTTCTGAGAAAGAACACAGGAATGGTTAAGGGGAAGTTTCAGATTTTGACCTGACCAAAGAGATTTAAAAAAAAAAGAGTTTAGTAGTTTATAAGGCTTATGTTGAGTATTATATATAAGACTTTTGCAGAATCCATTTTTAATGCTAAAACTTCTGCAGGTTTACAGAGACTGTTCTCTTAAGATCTTTAGAGGTTTTTTTTTCATTTATAAATTGATTGAATAAAACAAAAAAGTTATTTGGTAATACTTATATTATTATTTACATTATTATTTATTTATTATTATTATGTCCTGCATGGTTATCATTTACTAGACTTTAAAGGGGACAGAACTATATATTTTTCCCCCTGGTTAAATCATCACTTGACATGTCAGTCATGCAGTTTTTATAGTTTTAACTATGTGTACATCTTATTAGACATTCAGACATTCATTATTGTCTTTAATGAAAATCTAACTCTAAAAACAGCAGAGCCTGCATGTGAACTCATTTTTCAAATACACTTGATTTGCATTATTTGGCTGCATCCAAGCGCTAACGTGGTGGTGACACGTAGTTAATGATGGCCGGTGACTGATGTTAGGTCAAAGGTAAATTACCTGAAACATTTTGGGGTCTTCGTGACACTGTCAATGTTAGACTTAGCTTATGGAAGCAATTAAGTAAACCAGAAATTTGCAAGCAACAATTGTTTTTTTTGGAAACACAAAGAGAACTGTCTTTAGCCATGACACCTCTCTTAAGAGCAAAAGCCAGCAAGCAACATGTCCATGACCCAAATGATGGAATAATTAAAGTTTTGAGACATCACAGCTAACTTAGCATAAAAAACGTCATGATTTGTGTTTTTTTTTAGGCCTGTGCCCACTGACAGAGCTGTTTACATCAATTAAAAATGTATCTCAGGAATACAATGACTGACTGACAAGACACTGAGTGGAAAAACTCTGATGAACACCAGTTATTTTTGAGTTATATGCTGTTCTGCAAGGTAACTAACAGGTAAAGGCTGAATTCACTTCAAACAGATAGGAAAGCTCTTTATTCTTATTTTCTTATCTGGATTTTTGATAGTTTATCATGGCAGATATGTTTTGTCGCTGTATAGCCTCTTTTGCAACTGATAGTAGAAAAAATAGTTACTAAGTGATTCAATCAGTTTCCTGCTTGATACCAACGTATTATTCACATATTCTGTACAATGTTCATGTTGTTTGTTGCTTACATATAGCTGGCTGTTGGTTTTGTTCAAGCATGCTGGCTAGCCATTAAAAATAACTGATGTTGAAAAATAAATTAAATAAAAGAGCGTTCTATCGCTCCCTCTCTCACTCACTCATGAGAGGAATCAAGACATTAAAGGTGATCTATATATGCAGGTGGATGGTTCTTGAGTGTAAACATGATCCTGCCCGCACCACTGATCATAGCCAGAGTAAAACTGTTTTAAACATCATCTATATTACAATATCAATTTTGAAGTGTAAACATTTAGATTTGTTTGAATAGCATGTGTGAATGCCGGCTCAAGCATGTATTTACAATGGTACAAGTTCAGTTGCTTTACCATAACTCTGTCTTAAGTGGGCAAATTAATATTGATTGTAGAAAACACTTTTTTGGAAGCCTTTGGAAGATGAAATGCTAATTCATACACATTGCTATTCACTATACACCCTACACATTCGCAGTTATTTATGCAAATCTTCTTGTTTTAGTGGTAAGAACTACTTCCTATAACAGCCATGGGACTAAGAATGATGTACCAGAGTCATTCTTTTGTTGATCAGAAGTGGACATGATTTCACTGAGGGTCGGATTGGGTGCCAAAAAAAACATTTCATTATTATTCCAACTGATTGCAAAGTGAAATGTGATTTATCCACTGCAGACACACAACAAGCAGCAGTGTCTAAAGTGTGAGGCCGATCCCATCAAGCAAAGATACTGTATATGACTCATTGACAAAAATAAATCATTTTTCTATTTTTCCAAGCTCCTTTCTTGTAGTTTGCGACTTTATAATTACACAAAATAACAGAGTCTTAAATTACCTTTAATCTAACAATTTCTGAATTTTGTCCATGAATACCTGTTGATTCAATGTGCCTTACAGAAGAACCCGACATTAAGATCCTATGACCAAACACTTGGCATTAAGGTCAGGAAAAATCTTCCTTAAGACAGAAACCTTAAGCAGAACCAGACAGATTGAAAATCAGTCATCATCTGCCTAGAACGGGGGACAGAGGGAGAAGCAGCTCAAGGATTCTGCCTGGTAAAGAAAGTTCTTAACACGCCACTGAAGATGCATTTATATGTGAGCTTAATTTTAATATTTTGGGTGGACTGTTGGAGATGTAGCTAATTTAAACTCCCTGATATACTGCTCATATTCTGTATCAGATTGTGGAAAACAAGAAAGTGCATTGAGCATAAAATGCTAACTGCAACATAACCAAAAACTATTTCTGTCCAAAGAATTGTGGTGAAAATACAACAAAACATTCCTTTAATGTGCAGTGCATTCAAAGTTAAACAGAAACAATGTCAATATGCAGGTATAGTAAATCAAAACTTATGTTAAGCAGCTAAAGATATACTTAAATTATTTCCATCTCTTGCTTCATGAGACGACCCTTCATTACTCAGAATAATCACAGCTGCCTCAGCACTGACCCACAGGCTGCAGCATGAGACATAAATACATTATTAAACGACAACTCTCAGATGGATCTGCTGTAGAAAAACTGGAAAGTTAAAGCCAATAAGTTCAAAGTCATATTTTATAAACATGTAAAAAGCACCACCGGTAGTTTTAAGATTGGAGTCTGGAGTGATGAAGGTCGGAAGTCAGAAATACATAGAAATTTACCATTGATGAAAAAAAATTCTTCTAATGGTATTTCCTGTGAGGATATTTGTGATTAGTTCACAGCAGTTTCAATAATTTAGTAAAATGTTAGTGTAGGTGCATAAATGTAGGATTCCTGATAAGTTCTGACATGTGAGGGTGTTGTTAAAATTCTTAGACTCAATTTTTATATCTAAGATACTTTGATCAGACACAACCTTCAGTGCAGTTTTGGGGCCTTTGTTCCTGCTGCCCTTCGGCCGTCCTCTCGGTCGCTTTGGAGTTGGTGGTCCAACAGGCTCCTGTAGAGAGAGAGGGGGGTTCAGTGTGTAGCCAGTTATTAACCATATAAGAAGCATTTGTTTCTGCAGCAATGTAACACATTATCAACAAGCTTTGTGTTTTAAAATGACTTTTCACATTTTTCAGATGGATGCTTTCTGTTCTAAATTCAAGATAGATACTGATCAAATGTCTCTTTCCAAGACTGAAATGGTCGTACCTGCTGCTGTTTGCGCGGTCGGCCCCGGCCCCTGCGCTGAGGCTCAGGAGGTGACAGGGCAGTGCTTGGCTCGGGAGATGGCTCTTTGGTCCCACTGTCACTCATGCCTGCGTCTTTCCACCTGCTTCAAACAGTATGGGCATCAAAGCCTGGAGGAGCGGCCTCAAGGGCTTAAAGAGAAGAACCTGAGTATCAGAGGTTGCAGATGGAGCAAAGGAAAGTGGAAAAACAATTCTACTTTTGAATTCAGTGCTGCAATCATCTTTACAATAATATGCCTTTTAAAACCACTTTGATTGCTTTTTTTTTTTTTTAAACAATAGGCAAAATTATTTTTTAAACCAGTGCTTAATGTATAATGGAAAGGATAATTCAGAATAACACAGGACATTTTCCAAGAGCAAGCGTGGGAACTGCTTATACATAAGCCTTGGCACCCGGTGGATCGGAACACAGGCAGGGGTCTGGCAAATGCAGGGAAACATGAGAGTGGTGTCCAGCGACTAAAAGTAGCACAGATATTCACAACTCAATCTACCATCCAAAATCTGCATCTACTGTACTGCATGCTTCCTTTCCATCTGTCCACTGTGAGGAATTTCTCAATGGGTCTGTGCACATTGTGGGCGTGCTGATGCCGCTACAACTTTTAGTGTAAAACCAAGACCATAACTCACAACCACAAACACACCAAAATACTACAACATGAGGGGGGAAAAAATCACTGCATTTGATTGCATTAGTAAACTTTACAGTGGCAGCTTAAAGCTGATTAACAAATAGGTTTAGTGACAGAAATTTCAAACTGTTTTATAGTTTGAAAAAGAAAGGGAAAAAAAGCAACTTTTTGGGTGCAGCTTGTTCATTTTAAAGATTTGCTGCTTTCACTTGTCTGACATGGTGGTAAACAATTTCACAACAATATGTTAAGATAACAAGTTTATGACTTTAGAAAAACAGATATTTTACATATTTTTAATGTAGGCTATTATATAAGACAAATTAAACTCAATCCATCAAACAGTGTGAATCTATAAATTATTTAGAAAAGAAGAATCATCAGGTCAACACAAGAGAGTAAAAAGTAAAAAGGCTTGTTTGTTTTCGTGTTGTTTTATTGTTGTTTGGGTTTAATGCCTTGTTGTTGTGTATTCTTCTGCATGTGTCAAAGCACTCTGTATCCCATTGTTTTAAAAAGTGCGATACAAATTAAGTTATTATTAGCCTATAAGGAAAATGTTTTTTTTTTTTTTTTTTACTTTCATGAGACAAAAAACGCAAACATTCTTTGGAGAAAAAAAAAACATCCGATGGAAAAGTTTTGTGTTTGAAAAGATAATCAGTTGTTTTAAATAGTTGAAGATTAATTTTCTAATGATTAACTCATCGATAATGTATTTTTGTGTGTGCGTGAATCGTAGGTCTGGTGATTAATAGCACACATATAGCCCATGTTGTAAACAACATTCCGTTTGTAAAACTTTTTTTTTTTTTTATCTTAACAGATACCTTAAAATGATATGTTATTATAGTTTGGTTGATTTTGCTAACACAGTAAGCCGTAAATGTCAACTTCACCCTGGCTGGTATAATGTCCCGTGGTGGTCGTTTTCCACAGCTTCGAGCTCCGTCAGGAATGTGCCAAACACTAATTGCCAACACAGCCTATCAAACTGGCCGCACTGAAGCAGGAAGTCAGAGTAATTTGAGAAAATCGACGTCCTCGAAGAAACAACTTAAAGCCAAACGCGACGCACGACGTCGTTTTGTCGCTTTTAAAACTAATTTCGGGGCCTCACAAACAGCGTCCTGCACGTTTTCTCATGCAGCAGCAGACCCGTCCGCTTAACTCGTCTGTTTGGCAGTGAAGTGCGGGACTGAATGTACTTTTTGCATATGGGCGGCAATAGCGACCATAAAAACACATTCTTTTACAGCCTTAAAAGAAGGTGCGTAAAGCGCTCGTGCAGGGTGTCCGTGCGCTTTAACCTTCCCCACTTACTTTAAGGTTTCTGGAACAAGTAAAACGCCGAAACACTCGAGGCTATCATTATTTTAAACGGAAAAGTCGGCTATCCCTACACAACATCCCCCTGCTCCCATCACTTGCGCAATCGATCTTATATGTGTTGTTTTTCTGCTAAGATAACGGGTCCACCAAAGAAGAAGAAGTGGATGAATAAGGTGTCCGCGAGAAATAGTTAACCGAAAAGGACAAAGGCGAGGAACACAGGTGCAAAAGCTCTCTTTTCAAAGCCAGCCTGGACATACACACATAGCCTACACACTCACACACACACACTATATGCATTCAGGCTATAGGCTCCATGTTCAGCCTGAGTGATCCTGTTCATGCAGGCGACCTTAAACGCAACACAGAGCAGAGGGAGAGCGAGAGCTGAACTTACCTTGAGTCGGTTTGCAGTTTTACCTGGAAGTTCACACCGTCACCTCACTTTGTGCTCGTGCACAACTATGAAAATGTTAGTGTATCGACCGTCTCATTGGCTGGAATGAAAGGGTAAACTCTCTCTCTCTCTCTCTCTCTCTCTCGCTCTCTCTCTCTCCCTCTCTCTCTCTCCCTCCCCCTCGCTCTCTGTCTCCCCCTCTCACTCTCTCCTCCTCCTTCTCTAATCGGAAATGTGTGTGATCCCCCCAGACGTCCAGTCACGAATACCCCAGTTGCAGTATAATTGGGGGTTGTAGCTGAGCAGTATGCATTGCATACTTTCTCTATTAAAGCATGTTTCAAGAAGGAACAAGGGTAGGAGGGTTGAAACAGAGAGGACCCCGCCCCGAAAAGCTAACCGGACCACCCACAACAGAGGGAAAGACACACACACACACACACAGAGAGAGTGAGAGAGGCATCAGACATGTGGGTAAAGTCTGGTTCCGAAGTTCCCAAAGCTGGGTCCGAGCACAGGGAAGTTCCCTACAGAAGGGGGAAATAAAGAAAGTGGAAATGATGGTAGTCTTTTGAACGCAGAGGTTTCGCTCTCACCAACAGTGATACAGATACAATGCTGCCAGTCAGAACAAAGGACACAAATGTCAAATGGGGATTTTCAGAACAAAGTGTACATGGTAGCAGTCTGATAAACAGTGTTGGAAAAAACTTTATTTAAATGGGTTTGCTCTAAGTGAAAGCATACATAAGAAGGGAGCAGATTTGTTTTGAGGAAAAGGAAAACTTTTCCCTTTAATTTCTCTTGTGCAAGCATGTGAAGTTTCTATTTCTCATATTCTGTAACCCCCCCCCAAACTTTATCAGATGTCATTGTTTCATGTTAATTAAATAGGAACTGAAAATAACACCTACTTTGAGGTAATGTAGGGTTTTTGGAACATACTTAGCCTCTTCTTGTTTTTCTTGTGCTTGTTTTGACATGCACGGTGCCTCCATTTGACTGATTTACAATGAATGTATATTCAGGTCTTCATGATTTTCAGAAATACATCTGGATATTTGCACTAACTGATAACTAGCGAGGGGAAGGTTTGAACTGCAGTGAGTGAATACACATTCCAGGGACGCCTTATGCTGAGGAGCTCATGGAGTCATGTCAGGTGAGTGAGCTGGCATGAGACCAAAATATAAAGCTTTAGGTTACAAACATGAAGCACAGGGCTCCATTTGAAGGGATAGCACTGTACTGTCAGTTTTATGGTTAAATTAATACAAAAACCTGATGGTTAGAATTTTTTAAATCTTGATAACCACATGCTGAAGTTAAAGATACAGAATGTATCTTTAATTACTCATATGCTGTTACAATAAAATGCAACAAACAAAATAGGAAAGAAATGACTTACATGCTCTGTGGCAGAATTTATTAAACATTTTAGTCAGGTTTTTCATGAAACTTTGCAACAGTTGCGGAGAAATGCCACTCATACATGAATTTGATTAGTCATCCACTATAACTATTACTAAATGAAAGTGAACAAAATGACTCTGAAATCATAACTGTCAACCTGCCAACCCCACATGCTGCTGTCTACAGCAGGGAGATAATTGGCCATCAATTGCAAAAGGGAACACTTCAGTCCTATTAGTACAATTTCTGCAACACCAAAAAAAAGAAAGAAAGAAAAAAAAAGGGAAAAAATAAACGTCATTATTTGTTGCGACATAAGCAAAAAATAAGTTGGTATGATTATGAACAATTTCCAGAAAGAGAATGAGGAATAAGACAGAGACAAGTGGAGGGTTTGCATGAGAGTGAAATTGTGTGTCGATTTGTGTATGTGTGTGTGTGTGTGCGAGGGGGAGAGTTCAGTGGCCTTCTGCAGGCTGGTGTGTCTGAGATTTGGTTGGACTCTGATCTTGAGGTTTATTTAAGCTGAATTCCGTGGGCTCATCAGGACCGGGTTACAAAAATCCTCCTATAGAACTAGAAAGAATGTGCAGCGCATACAGTTCTGCATAAGGCACAAAGGCATGTCTTTAGAGGTGGGGGCAGGCATCAAAAGACAGGGAGAGTAGGGATTTCTTTAGAGGCTGGGGGCAATGAAGGTATTTCAGAGCTCCATTCAACACTAGGGGGGGGGTTACAGTTTTGTGGTTAAGGGTGCATTTCCAGGGGATGTTAGGAACTTAAAAAGTGTGCTTGAAAGCCCCCCACACCTCCGATGTTACTGGAAGTTATAAAGCTTAAGCACATCTACATTGAACCCGAAGGGATAAGTCTTTATCTCTGCACCCTTTTAGTTTCTTGTAATAAATAATGAAAATTGAGTCTCTCTCTGACTCTCTCTCTCTTGGAAGTACTAATAGTATTAATATTAATATGTTCTTGTTTTTATCTGCAAATATTGCATGTTGTGGAACACAGTATATTTTATTTGATGTGTTAAGCACCACCATCGTGTTAAATGTTTTTATACCGCTTATAAAGGATTATTTGGGGGAAAGTTTACCCCAACATTCATAAAACTTTATTTACACTTTCATGGTAAATCTTCTCTGCACTGTTTTACAGCTTAACACATGCCATTATCTTTTCCTAATGTTAATGCTTTTTACTCAATCTGTTTGCTAAATTTTTGATGATTGCAACACGTAAAACATGATATTAAAAAGCTTTACTGGTGTAGTCAAAGTTATTTCCTCTGACCTTATAAGGTCATTGAAAATAATAGCATATACAAATTATTTTAAAGCAATACCTTGTAAGAAATAAAATAGCTTTCTGTGTTTTCTCATTGACTGAGTCTTTTTTTTATAGAAATGCTGCAACCCATATAATAAATTCTGGTTATACATTTTGATGCATTATTTATGTTTTTAATGTAAAAGAGACATCGGCGGAGACAAACATGTACATAATTAAGTGAACAACTGGTCTTGAGGGCTTTAAGAAAAGATTGGTTCAGTCCATTTTGGATAGCAGACTCCGTCTCTAAGCCATCTCCATGACCTTCTTGATCCAGTCCACGTAGACAGACACACGGATGAAGATGTTGGGCTGACCCGGGTGTCCGCAGCGCCTCATGGGGATGATCACACCCTCGAGTACCCAGCAGTCCCTGTTCTTACAGGCCAGAGGGCCGCCGTAGTCTCTCTGCAGACACATAGGAACAACACTGTGGAGTCATTATTTGTCTCTGTTATGACTGAGTGTCACTGCTAAGGTTGGAAACATGTTGCAGTCACAGCTTGTCCAGTCCAGCCTCCATTATCCATATGGTGAGTGTGTTTGATTTATAGGAAAGTATAAATAGCTGTATGCTCTTTACTTTAAGCCATTTAAAGCATTTGTTCAAAGGACTTAATGGTGTTATGCTTGGTAATGGAATAAATAATTTTTGGGAAAACAATAGTGGATGGAGAAACTCTACAGAAGGTCTCTTAATAAAAATTAGATATTTTACTCTAAGAGGACAATAAAATTGAATAATTGTGCACACTTGTGCATGGACACCTACTTCACATGCGCCCACTCCCCCCTGGAAAGAGTTGGTGCACATCTCATTTTCACGAACACGCCCTCGGAAGTACTTGTTGCAGTCCCTGTTATTAAGAACGGGAATCTGGGCCACGTTGAGGACAGTCTCATCTCCAGTCCCTTAAAAAACAAAGAAAGCAATGAGCTAGTAGATCATATTGTTTAGAGGGATGATGAAGAGAAAAGAAAGCTGGACAGATGTTGGATGCTTCTGGAAACAGAAACGCCATCTGTAACTTAACGACACGAAACGCTCTCTTGTTTTGACACATCATCACTTCAAGGCTAGAAACAAGAAGCTTGTTCTGAGGAAATGATCTATCATTACTCATGCAGTACAAGCTTATTGTAGTTGTCAAGTTATGATTTCCAAAGAGTATACTTGCCTCTGGTCTCACCCCATCCTGCGATCTCACAGGACGTCCCCTCAGCCACGATGTAGCGCTCAGGAGGGAGGCAGATCTGAGAGATACGCTCATTAAACTGGGCCGGGCTAAAAAAGACAGGAGTGAGGGAGAAATTACTGGTATGTCTGAGTGTGTGTGTGTGTGTGTGTGTGTGTGTGTGTGTGTGTGTGCACGTGCATACTATTCAAGTTGCAGCATGACCAGCTGAGACTCTGAGGGTCCACAGACGATCTTGGTGAGAGGGATGGTTTGCACCCCAGGCTCATTTTCCTGCGGATCACGATACAGTGTACCCATCATGGCTGTGTACCCAGGCAGATCCACATAGCTGTGCACACGTGAACACAAGAGAACATAAAAATACAAGACAAGTGTTACTTCATGTGTTCCAGGGAAACTTGATGTAATACTGTTATTCTACAAAGACTATGTAGAGTCTACATTAATGCCACCAGCTCAGTGAGGCTAAACTTAAATGCTCAATAATAAATGTTCCAAATATCATGTTAAACCAACCAAAGTGGTGGACACAATTAAGATGGTACCAAAGTTATGAACCGACCAACTGACTGACCAAACATTCTCCTACCTAAAGTAATACTGCCAGCATGGAGGAAGCTTAGATGTCAGAACTTGTAGAGCAGGTTTTTGTTTTTTTCATCATTGGTTGAAACGGCAATGATCTTTATTTTGCACCTCAGCACACATAATCGTGTTGTTTTGGACCACAACATGATCCTCTACTTACTCTCTTTGAGTGGTCGAAACTGGCAATTCAGGAATTTATCCTAACCCACCTTAGCAGGACAACAGGTTGATTGCTATGACTCCCAGGACAACATATACTGTAGTGTGTGTAAGATGGGACTCTGAGTGGCAGTTGTAGCGGACAAACACGTTAAACATTGTGAAACACTTGTACTTTGGTTAGAGGAAAAAAATATTTGGTTACGTTAAAAAAAAAAAAAAAAAATCCTGTTTTCTGTTCACTTAAGGTCAGTAACCTATGTTGTAGCTTCTGTGAGGAACTTTTGGGTTTGGGTTGATTTTGGTGTCCCCCTGTGGACAAAGTGGTACCTTATATCTCTTTGCTGACCTTTTCCTGTACAAGTTTACTATGGTATGATCCCTGAATTCCTCCTTTGCTCCCTGTCATGAGTAATTTGGCCACGAGAGGTTGCCACCTGTCATTTAACTGATATTTTTGGGAGTCTGTCTGGAGACTCCAAAGACAAATCAAGTTTACCAGG